CTCAGGCAGAAGGGTTAATGGGGTAGCTGTGAGTGAGGGCACACAGGGGTCACACACCCGAGTAGGACATTCTAACTTAGCTCTGTCCTCACCCTCTCCAAGATAGTGTCAATCAGCTGGAAACACATCTCCAGAGCTGGCTGCTTCATGGTAAGGAGAGCCTGGGACCAGAGCTTATATATGGTATCTTTGCAGAAGAGCTCCGTTAGTATCCCTGACAAGATGTCTTTATCCTGTGCCTTCCTAATCTGGAAGCTGACAGGAAAACACAGGGAATTCACTGTGCACTGAGTTCCTGCTGTGTGTGATTGATACTGGTTTTGCTTTGTAAAAGTTGCCTCTTTGTTTTATCAAATGCTTCATGTTTTGTTTTGGTTTGCTTTGTTTTGTTTTTCAAAAGGAGGAGGGAAATATTTCTGTTACTACCATTCTGGGAGGGGTTGCACAGCAGAAACTTTTTTATCCTAAAGCATCCTGGTATCTAGCCCTCTCTCCTCAATAATCCTGCCCTTTCCCTCTGCCCTCTGCCCCCAAACCTTCCCCTGTGCATTAGACCTGGGAGTCTTACACCAATTGGGATATCTTCAGTAGTTGCTTCTACAGTCACAGAAGTCACATTTCAGAACTTACTGACTCTGCACTGGGAAAACGTGGTTTCTCTTGATGTGCTGCCTGAAATAAGAACTTATTGGCTCCTCAAAGGAAACCAGCACTTCTAATAGCAGTTGAAAAGCAGCGGAGTTGTTGTGAAATGTAAAATTAACATTGAAAAACAAAGGCAGGTTGAAGGCTCCTGGTTCAGTTTTTTCATTTACAGTCCCTCTATACCCTTAGTACTAGAGTCAGTAATTAAATATAATGTTCTTTATATACAGGAGGTCAGATGACACTATTTATTGACCCTTCCTGGCATTAAGCTTCCTTAACTCATGCCAAAGCATCACACTCTGTAGCACAATTGCATCCCCACCATTCAGTAATTTGGCTTGTTCAGAGGTACACAGACAGAGGCAGGCAGCTAAAGCAAAGCTTAAATAAAGCTCTAATTTAGTTCCATCATTCTGGATAATATTAAAAGTAAGCACAGAGCAAGTTAGGAAACAGTGCAGATTCACAAGAGAGAGCTCCCAAGAGCTGCTGCAGTGAACTGGCTCAGCACTACAGGCTGTTTATAAAACAGAGACTTATGCAACATATAACCATTTGGATATTGAGTTCAAACAACTCAAAATCAGAGACATCTCAATTACTTCCAGGTACTCCTGTCTATTGAATATTAGGGGCTTATTTGAGAATGCTGCTCTTGGTCTAGATGCGTATTTTGTTTCTCCCCAAAGATGTAGGGCATAGTGATTAACATGTCTTGCTTTTTGTAAGGAAAAATGTTTGTCCCAGAGACATTCTGGTGGTCCAGCAGCAAGGGCTGATATTTTAAGTGGATAATTCTTCTTTGGTGGATAGAGAACTGCAGTGCAGCAAGGACAGGGAAAAGACTAGTGACTCCCCTGCATACTGGAGAGAAGGCAAACTGGGTCAGAAAGAACAACGTCAGAGGAACAGATGAATAAAATGAGGAAGGGAAGAGAAAGACACAAAATCAAATGTGAAAGGAGAAGAAACACAGACTCATGAAGGGAGGAACTCCGACCACGTCCCACAGGGACCTCCAGCAGCACTTGCACTTGCACTTGCGCAGGAACAAGCTTGATGGACAAACACCGGCATCAGCCCCAGGCAAAGGGAGAGAACCCTGCGCATTCTCATCATCATAGGATCCTTGCTATCACTTCTCCTTCAGACAGAGGCAAACACCCATCAGAGCAAAACCTGCCCCTGTTTCACGGATTGAATATTTCTGGCCCTTCCCTTGAACTTTTCATCTCACCATCACATGGAGCATTTCCCTTCAATAGAGAAAAAGCTGGGAGAGAGGTGGCTGGTATTGCTTCCTGTGGCAGAGTTGCCTTTGGAGTAAGAGAAAAAGCAAACTCATAGTACATGCATAATTTTACTTCCCTTGAACTTGTCTTTCTGTATTCTCAGAACTCTATTTTTTCCCCCTCTTTTTTCTTCCTAGTGACAGCATGAACGAATAGTTATTCACATCTTTCTTTTAGCTGAGTATCTTAGGAAACTGTGACTGAAAGTCACGGTGGTATAAATACTGTGCACACGGTATATTCTCCCCTTCCAGTTCAAAAACTCATAGGAAAAAAAATAAAAGCAAGAACAAACACCTCCCCACTGGCAGTGCCGGGGTGGAGAGCACGTCCGGGGCCAGGAGGGAGTTCCGTGGGGCAGGGTGACCTCTGCTGGGGCACCTTGTACTGGTATTCCAGAGAAAATCCCTGTGCAGGAGCAGCAGGCAAGTTGCACCGAACCCTCTGCTCAGAGGAGCTTGACTACGTGTTACATCATCATGCACCGACCATTTCTTCATCATGTGAGCAGGAGGCTCCAAAAGGCCTCCCCACACACAGTACCTGAGATAAGGGTTGGATGACTCTCACAAGGCATCTGTGGTTTAGAGCAGAGACTGAAAAGTCATCTTCAAACAGCAAGGGCAGGAATCCTCTGGTCTGCATGTAAGCTGAGCACTGGTGATGCTGATACTTGTCACACTCAAATGTCTGTAGCTCTTTCAGTTTGAGTTCAGTTTCAGAAAGGGGCTGCCCTCCGGCGAAGCTCAAGGGAGCAAATTCAGGCAAACCACTCCTATGGAAACAGGTTGTGTCTGAGGAGGGCAAGTCCTGGCTGGTCTGACCTACTGAGATGCTTCTGCCTCCCCATATCTCAATCCTAGCATGGGAGAAAAGGCATCTTTGCTCAAGTCACCCTTGCCTAGACTTGTGTGTCTCTCTCCATTCATGACTAGCAGTGAGCCATCAGCACTGACAGGGACATTAGTGCTTTCTTGCTCAGTTGCTATGGTGCTGTGGGCTCCTACTGCCTACCTGTTGGCTTTTTGACCCGTCAAATGACAGGGATTAGTGCAAATATGGTGTGACATAAGTCCATGGTGCTTAGTCATGGGTGCTGTTGAACTGTGCCCTAAGGTCTTTGGTAAGAGACCTATCAGTCAAACAGTAGAAAATTTAATACCTGAAGGAATTTTAAAAGCAGGCACCTGGCACCTATTTGCTGTCCTGCTTTTTTTGTGCAAGCAGTTAGCCATGGCTAGGAGCCCTGCAGTTGTCAGCTATATCTCAGTGTAATTTTATACCCAGGAATATACACAATGTGCTGTTCCTTTGAACTCAGTTGAAACAGCAAGCTGTTTCTTTGCTCAGAAATGTAGCTTTGTTCTCCCTGCTTAGCTATTCTCTTAAGCATCAAGAGACAAGTACAACGTCCACTGAAGGTAATGGAAAGATGTGGTTGGTTTTCAGTGGGAGTTAGATCAGTGTTCAGTTAAATACACAATTCAGTAAGGCAGGCTTTAACTGCTTTTCTTATTAATAACACAAAAATTAGTTTACTCAACAGAGAGATTTGGTCTTTATTTTTAAATGATTTCCAAATTCAGAAAATATTTAAGCTGTGTGCCCAGCCAAGAGTTTATATCTTCTATTGTAGGAAAAGGCTCAAAAACTTACTGTGCCAAAAAGTACAAAATAGTGGGTTTCAGCAGATCCTCCAAACAGAGGCAATAATTAAAGTTGTTATGAATATTGTATAATGAGAAATCCATGCTTTTTTTTCTGAGATTGCCTTCTGCTGCTTGTACACAGTTTCAGCCTCTTCCAACAAACATCCTAGAAAGACTCAGAATGTTCCTCCCACTGGTCTAATGGTGTCAGGCAGGCAACAAAACAATGAAGCATACACCAGGCTACCTACCTTTCATACCCACCCTGCCAAAAGTTACTACCTGCTCTGGGCTTAAGCTCTTGGAGGTGCACAGGAGGAAGAACTGTGTGTTTCACTTCTGAAATAAGTCTATGCTCTCCCCAAGTAAAGCTGACAAGCTAGGAAGCTTGTCTTCTTAGTGACTTAGCCTATCAGTTGAACTACACTGTGCCACAGCTTCATCTCAAATCTTTGGTTCCCGGAAGTTTTTCTGAGGTAGACTACTATTAGTCTTACACTTGCAGAGGAGCTTTTGTTTCTTGTTGCTTTTTTCAGAGTATCTTTGCTGCCTAGTTGATTTCAGAGACTAACAATCACACGTGACACACAGATGAGCCAGGCAGAACCGCATGAATGGTCCTGTTACAGAAAGGCACCTTTCCTGATGCTGGGCATCTCTCTCTGTATCACAGGGTTTACTGGGCTTTGAGCTGCAGGGAGCTGAGATTCTCACCCAAAAAAACAGTGGAAGAAATGACACTGACTGCAGACAGACCATCGTTTGTCCTTCTGAAACTATGGGAAGGTGCTGGGAGACTATTAGCACTTGAGTAACTTCACTGCAAGGGGAGGCAAATTACGCTAACTTGGTGGAACAGTCTGTATAGATGCATACATACACCAGTTTTTATTCCACACCTGGCCAGGTAGCCTTATCTGTAAGTACCTAAGAAACAAAATTCAGGGAATAGCTTGGGTTAGCTGTGTGGTGAGAATGTACCTGCAGATCTTCTACTTCTCCTATTTGTCAGTTTGTTGGATAATTTTGAACCGAGTAAAGTTTCTCTATTTCCTAAGATTTTTTTTCTCTTTTCCCTATTTCTCCATTGTTCTTTCCCAGCAACAACAGGGTGATTTTTACGTTTTCTTCTCTATTGCTAATAGAATTTTTTCACAAAACCTGCCAATTGCTGCAGGCCTGGAGGTAGGCCTGAAAAAAATAGGCTCTTTCTGATGGGCTGCCTTTCTCAGCTTCTCAGGTGGGATCCCAGCTGCTCAGGAAATGACGAGCTCTTACTCCTCCCCTTAGTGATTTAGTGCAAGTCTGTCAAGAGAAGAGACAGCAGGAAAGCTTTTTTTATTCCTAAGAGTGATAGTAGAACTGCCATGAGACTGTAAAAACAGGGGCTACCTTTTCATCTATTCTGCAGTGCCTGGTCTATGATTTGAGAGAAGAGCAGTCCTGTGCTGCAGCTGAAATTCCTTGGCTTGGAAAGTGGAAAGGAAGAATGTGTCATCTGTGGCTGAAGGTAAGAAAGTAAAATGCCTGGGTAGGAGCAGAGGTGAGCACGGTGTGGGATTGATGAGAGAGGGAGGTGAGCAGAGCCAGTGACTCAAATGGAAGGGGGGATGAAAGTGTTTAGAGCTGGATCAGAAGGCGGTGGCAGGGCTGATAGCAGGGAGACTGTGAATGGCACAAGTGCTTTACTTGTTTTTTGGAAGAGCTGGCTGTAGTAAATGTTTTGTGCCCAATGGAGGTAGGGCTTGGAGGACTCCAAAATCAAGAAACTTACTGACCAAACAGATAACTCTATAATAGAAACAGTCATCTCCTTCCAACTGACACGCACTTTGTATATCTCCATTGTTTTCTCCACTGTAATTTTGGTACTTGTTCTGTCTTTCCCTCGTATGCTCAATGCTTGTCAAAGAGATGTTCTTGGGGCCTGTTGTCACCTTACTGTCTGAAGGTATCACCTCTTTGCCAGTCTCTCTGTGCAATAAGTTAAAATTCTTAGGGTCCCACCGTGCTCTTCTACTGCCCCAAATCCCTGCTGGTCACAGCTTTTTCCCTTCGTGCTCCTGCTTTTGTGTCTTCCTGTGTGTATACAAGGTCTTTCCAACCTTCTGCTCCCTAGGGAAAGGGAATCTTTTCCTGGAGCCATTAAAGAAGTCAGCTAGATTTAATAATACAATAAATTAAATTTGATAGAATCATGGTAATATGTGTGTGCTTGAACATAGTGACTGGCTTGTTACTAATTTTCCTCTTCCTGGTTCTTTTCATTTTTTACTTCCAATTAGTGTGTAACAATTAAGATTAGATGCCATTTTCCCAGATGAGATAAGTAGCACCAAGACTCAGCTGTGGCCCATGACAGACCACTTACTTATGCTGTCAAAAAAGACAGTTGTGGGGTACAGAGGGGTTGTTCATTTTTGCAAGAGAGCTTAGATCCATATTGATTCATTGACACAGCTTTAAGTTACCAGACTCAATGACAGAGTCCTCAGTATAATTGTTTGTGGCTTCTACTGCACTTACTTCCTTCAGCAGTAGCCCTGGCTCACCATCTGAAGGTGAGGACTGAGGGTGCTTGTACCTCCTTGACTTTCAAAACTTGGACAGTCCTTTTCAGTCTGTTTCCTTGTGGTTTGGTGAGCAGTTGCTGGGGGAAAAAAATTATCTAATGTGTTGTGGCATTTTGTTCAGTTCTTTTTCCTTAACCTAGAACAAAACCAGCAATGCTCTCTAATGAGGGATGAAGTAGATATGTGTCAAGAACATGCAGCAGTTCTTTCTTTCTACCCAAATGTGATCAGAAGGTTATTCCAGTTAGCACAGAATTTAGTTAATTTATTCTAGTGTCTGTGGAAGATGCATCTTTTGCTATAGGAACTAAAAAAGACTGGTCCAGAAGTTTCCTCTCTTGTGAATATTTTTAGAGTAATCTTCCAGGCTTTCAGCAAAAATAAACCTGGACTTGCAACATCTATGAGATGGATATAGGACCCACTGTACTGCAGTTAATCAGGTTTTGGTAGCAGGTTGTACATAAACTGTCTGTGTTACCTTGATTTATAAAAAAATAGAGGGTTTCAAGTGATAAAGCAAACACTGGAAAAAATACACAGCAGAATTAGATGACCTGTTTCTTTGCTGCAACAGAAGTCTTCGTGTCCTTCACTGTAAAATCACCTGCCTCCTTGTTTCCAGCCTAGCTGGGGGTTTCCTCAGTGTCTTTTCCAGGGCATCTCCCTGGAGAGACATTAAAAGCTTTCGGCAGAGTATATTTTGTTGTTGGGGTGACACTTTGCTGCTTGCCTTCTGCTTTTTTTTTTTCATGCATGGAGCCCATGGACTCCTATACCCCTGAAAGCCTAGAAATAATGATGTGCTAATAACCTTATTGCTCACTCACGAGGGAGTGTTGTCTGCAGTGAGAATTCCCCTTTGCTGCTGAATGATGTGTCTGCGAAACTTGCAATGTTGCTGTACACCCAGCAGATGTGGGGATTTGGTAATGAGGTCCTAAGGATTTAGGGAAGTTACTTTTTTACTGCTGAAGAGATTTAAGAATGATTTTGTTAGAGCTTGGTAATCATAATACTGCTGGCCTCTGCTGCATTCAAATGAGCTGCCCAATCCTAGAGCTCTGCTGCTGAGGGTAGCACTCAGTCCTGGAAAGATGCAGTGATTATGTGATTAGCCAGGAGGCTGAATTCCACCATTTTCTGTGTGCGGTTTAGCAGTGTTAAACCCTCACCGAGGACCTAGAGTTGAAATAATCACTATCCTGTTACAAGTTTCCTCAGTTATCTGCTCCTCAGACTTTTATTGCCATAAATAACTCTGGAAGTCAGGCCTCTATGCTAGAAGTGTTAAGTGCTGCAAATAGTATAGAAGATGACTCATGTAGTGAGATGAAGGTGGAGCATGAATCAGTAGGAAGAAAACTGATATACAACGGAGACATCCTGAATGCAGATGACACAAAAAATCTGAACAAAGCAATCTTCAATCATCATAAAAATGAATCAAAAGGTTGTTTGTTTTTTTTTTTCAAAAGAAAAAACCTCAAACTTCTGTTTAATGAGAAAGGCCGTTGTAGTGAAAGCCCAAAGCGAGAAGGTATTGCATACTGGCCATGTTATTCCTTACCCAAGATAAACTGTGGACTGCTTGGGAAGAGAGGGATGGAAAATTCTTCCCAAAATGTCCAAACAAAGCAGAGTATTCAGCAAGCAGGTTGCTTTCCAGATTGTTCTGGGTCTACATAAGCTAAGAAAAGAACTTATCTTTGAGCTAAACAGTTTTTGGAGATCAATAGTCCTCATAGCATCAGTGAACCCACAGTGAAAGCTAACAGCAGTGGAAACACTAAAATAACCTATCCATGTTCCTTGTAAATGATAAGTCATGATAAGGAGATAAAATTCCCAGAGACCGTTCCATTTGAAAAGACAGCTTTTGGTCCTTTTGCTTACCCTCTGGCTCACACAAACAGGAGTGCCTTTAAAGGTAGACTTGGAAAAAAAGGTACCCGATAGATGACATCCTACAGCTGTTGGTGCACTAATGAACTAAAGTGTTCAGTTCTGCCTATAATTCCAGTCCTGCCACTTCTTGGGAGAAGGAATGTTTAAGAGCTTAATCTAACTCTTCAGGGGTGAGAATGAAACATTTTCACATTTGCCATCAGCTATGATTCTTTGGATATTAGGAAAGGGTTCCTCATTGAGGGGGTGGTCAGGCACTGGAACAGGCACCCCAGGGAAGTGGGCACGGCATTAAGCCTGTCAGAGTTCAAGAAGCATCTGAATGACACTTAGTCATATGGTTTAGTTTTAGGTAGTCCTGTGAGGAGCAAGTGCTGAAATGTAATAATGCAGAGAAGCCTAGATACCTGTGTCTTAGATGAAAGCTCTGTCTCTGCTAGCATTTTTATTAGAGCCACTATTAAAATTGTAGAGGCTGGTTTATCCCATGGTGTGTGTGTGTCTCTTCCTTGGCTTTGTTATGCTAGACCCTCACAGTGTTGCTCTCAAAAATGTTACACTTGCTTAGAAACAAGTGTAACAAGGCATCCTAACCTGTACTGCTTAGAGTTCCTTTGTTCCCAGTAAAGTAAGAGATGGTCAAAAGACTGAAGACTTCTAGCACAGCTGTTTCACAGGTAATGCTGTCAAGGCTTAAGGGATGCAGATACAGGGAGCAGAATTATGGACATGAAACTCTAGCAAGGTTATCTTTATCTCCAGTATGACTGTAAAAATAATCTAAAACCTGGTTGTACTTGTTTTTTATGGTGTTATAAGGGCTATGAGTTCATTTCTTCATTGAAACTAGTGCTGGATTGAAACTTGGCATAAAGATAGTCATACTTATTCATGGTCAATTGCAATATTTCAGATGTGAATTTACCTGTGTGTTAATGCACAAAATCCAGAGCTGCACATTGTAACTCGCAATATGTCTTTTCTACTGCATCTGTGTTCAGAGCATTTAGTCCATTTATTCATAGATAATCTGCTGGATTTGAGCTTTAATGGAATAAGTTGTACTTATGGGAGGTAGCACAGGCTGAGTTTTCTATTGCTGCTAAGGGAGAGCTAATAGTTAACAGCTAGTGACAGATTTATGTTTTCACTTGTAGGCTACCCAGCAGTGGGCCCAGCTCAAATGTAAAAGATCACTTGGAAAAGGTGGCTTTGTTAGCAAAAAGTATGAAGTTCATTTTTAAAAGCTGTACTGATTTTAAAACCAAAAAAAAGTGCCTTTCTCCTGTTCAGAGGATAGAAATTCTCTAAGGAGAAACAGCACAGACTGAGTTTCTGTCAATAAAAGAATCTGTGTAATTTAATACCAGACAGCTTTTTAATACAATAGGCAAGTGTCTGCTCTTTTTTTTTCCCTATCTTATGAAGGGGAAAAATACAAAAACCTGCCTGCAGTATGTTACCTAAATTTATCCACAGAGGGAATAATCCTCTTGGATGCTCAAAATTCTGTCTGAAGGAAGTAAGTAAAAGCTATAGGGAAGCTGGAGACCCTCCATCCCCATTTTCTAAAGTGCTGACAACAGGAAATGTGTTAGGCAGCACCAGTGACCATACTGTAAGGTGGCACTTGCTTTAGTCCTTCTTATCACAAAATATGAAAGTTTCTGTTTGATTTTTCAATAATGTGAGGCTGAGGTTAGAGATGTGTGAGTGACTTGCCTCAGATGAAAAAGCTATTCAGAATCATCTTTGGTTTGAGTTTGAATTGTTCCTGTGTTCAGGCAGTGGTGGGATCGTGCTTTGGACAACACATATTCATAAATATGTTAAACTTCCTACAGATGTCCTGCAAACCTTCTCCCTCCTGCAATCTGTACTCGAAACCCTATCTGGAAGAAGCATCTGATTCTTAACGAAAAAGAATAAAATTGAGTTCAGAAGCCAAAATAAATCTCGGGTTATTATTCAAAATGAAAAGAAAATGGACACTAGCTTCTTAGTCAAATATCAGGTTTATAATTTTTTT